AAGTTTATATACACCCAGGAAACATCAGAAGAATATACTAAAACATTATTTTTATTTTATTTATGCCTTTTTAGGGGGTGATTTTCACAATGAAAGTTTTTTTTCCCCCTGATGCTGAGATTAAAAAAATGTAAGCAAAAACCAAAGGAAGTAGAACATAACCATGCCCCTGACAAAGCAGTTAGCAGTGCGGGACATAATGGCAAGCATAACATCCTCATCATGCCACACAAGATCCTCCAGTTTCCAGCCCTGCCTCTGCCCCACATCCTGCAACTTCTCTGCCACCCAGGAGGGTCAGCAGTGCCAAGCTACACTGTTCTTCACATTTGTACTTGCCATCTACTCTTTGCTGCTCCACTCTTCCAGTATTCCCAATGTGGTAGTTCTATGTCCTTGCCTTCTTTTCATTTCTGGGCAAAGCACAATTCCTGACATGCAGGTGAACAAATTAAATGTTGACGGTGTAAATTAATGAATACATGAATAAGGCAGTGACACTGAATGTGAGGCCCATTTCTTTCATTTATTATAAAATCATACTCACCTAATAGGGTTGTTGCCAGGATTAAATAGAACATACATGTAAAACATACTTGGCACATAGTATGCACTCAAAAATGAACACGGGTATTAACTATTATCAGTATGACCAGGTACAAGTTGTTTTGCTCCCTTACCTACAATCTTCTTAAATCATAGACAATAATTCCTGCCCTGATCACTTATTATCTTGAGATGAGAAAGAGCTTAAAGCAGTTTGGGAACTATAAATCTCTAGACCAACACATATTATTATCACTGTGATGATGGTGATGATTATGTGCCACTGTCTTTGCAAATCTTCCCTACAATAAGCATATCATTTAACGTCACATTACCTTTGCTGATGTTTCAAACCATCCTACGAAACCATGCTCCTTGCAGAACTGGTCCATCTTCAGGCCATTGTTCATGAGTACATCCTTCCCCTGGTCACATTTGTTGGCCAACAAAACCACTGAAACTGGTTTGCCATTAGGGAGAGTTAACTTGGAGTCCAAATCATTTTTCCACTTTGCCACTGCTTCAAATGTGGCTGGCCTGGTGACATCGAAGACAATAAATGCACCCATAGCTTCTCGGTAATAAACCCTTGTCATGTTTCCAAATCTTTCTTGACCTATCACCAAAAAGAAATAGAAATCAAAAACGTATTACAACTGTAAATTGAATCATATATTAGAACCTCATAAGACCTCCACTATGAGCAAGTCACTCAGTAAAATGTTTTATTGCTAATGTTTAAAGAGCGGGCTGAATACACAGTCATGCAGATTTCTTCTTGATCTTTGAGTCCAGAAGGGAATTTATCCTTTTAACAAATATTTATTGAGAAACTTCTGTGTACCATGTAATGTTCTAGAACTGTGTTAACACAGTATCCCTCTAGACACATGGCTACGTAATTTAAATTAGTTAAAACTAAGTATGACTTGAAATTTAGTTATTCAGTTACATTAGCAAGCTACATTTCAAGTGTTCAATAACCACATGTGGCTTATTGGCTACTGTATTAGACATCCCCAATACAGAACATCTCTATCATCATAGAACACTCTGTTGGGTACACTGTTCTAAACACTTGGAATACAATGATTAAAACATGAAAATCTCTACCATTGTGGAGCTTACATTTTAGTGGAAGACAGATTATAAACCACAAACAAAATAAATAACTAAACTGTGTAACATGTTAAAAAGGCACCCACAGTCTACTCTAATTAAAAGTAATAATGAGAGCTGGTATTCACTATGTTTACAAACCATCAGCAATGTGACCTATGTAAATGATTATGAAGGTACAATTATTATCCCCATTTTAAAGTGACAAAATTGAGAGTCAAAGTAACATGCTCAAATTATACAGATAATTGATAAGCTTGGGAAATCAAAATCCAAACCTGAGTTGCTTGAATCCAGAACCCACAGGCATTTACCAACATTGAATGCTCTCGACTACTACACCATAGTCTTGTACCATCTCTTCCACATTTATGTACCAGAATCATCCCATTCAATCCAATTGGACAGATATTTATTGGACATCTACAGTATTGATGCCAGTCTCTGGGTTACATGCTCAGAATACAACAGTGAACTAGATGGTCTCTACCCTTAATAAGTAGTCTACAGTTTATTGGATAAGGAAAGCCCTCTGCCATGGCAAAAAAAAAAAAAGAATTTTTTTTAAAGGATTATGATTTGTTTTGAAATTAGTTGAAAATGGCTGGAATCAGTTTTGCTCTGATGCTTAATTTTCTAAGTGAATATTGGCAAGTTTCTCAAACACTCTTAAGTTTAGCTTTTCTCATCTGCAAAATGGCAATAATAACATGTACCTCACAGGGTTGTTACACGCATGAAACAAATTAACATATGCAAAGCACCCAGCACAGTACCTTAGAACTAGTCAAC